TGAGGAGGGAATTCCAGGATTTTGACCCAGCGACAGTGAAGGAACAGCAATATATTTCCAAGTCAGGATAGTGACTAACGTGGAGGGGAACTTGCAGGGGGTGCTATAAACAACGTATCTGCTGCCCTTGTCTTCCTCGTTGGAGCAGGTCATGGGTTTGGAAGCTGCTGGCTGAAGATCTTTGGTGAATTTCTGCAGTGTATCTTGGAGATAGTACACACTGTTGCTACTGAGCATTGGTGGTGGAGGGAGTGGATGTTTCTAGCCCATCACATGTTGTCTTCAGCTTCCCATTCCTTAGCATCTTTCCAATACTGTTTAGTTTGTGGTTAGCCCCAGAATGATGAAACCTCAGCTAACATCGGATACAAAGTTGAAATTGTATGCTTTGTGAGGTCATTGTTATATGGCCTGCTATATTCAGTTGTGATAATTCATAATTTGATCCCATCTCTTCAATTACCATCATGGTCATGCAAGTTCCCAAATACCACTGGTCCTGTATATTCCGAGTGCCAGTACTCAGATTACTTGGGGGCATAAGGTGGTGTCTGAGTTCAACAATATTAGGGGAGGCGATGGTGTAGTGGTATCATCACTGGACTGTTAATCCAGAGACCCAGATAATGTTCTGGGGACCTCGGTTTGAATCCTGCCATGGCAGATGGTGGAATTTGAATTCAATAAAATATCTGGAATTAAGAGTCTAATAATGACTATGAATCCATTGCTGATTGTCAGAAAACCCCATGTGGTTCACTAATGTCCTTTAGTACCTGGTCTGGCCTACATGTGACTCCAGACCCACAGCAATGTGGTTGACTGTTAACTGCCCTCTATGCAATAAATGCTGCTGAGCCAGCAACACATCTCATTCCATGAATGAGTAAAGGAACCAGCCAGAGAGCCTAGCACAACAGAGGTCACTGCTACATGGAACATCTACTCAAAGATTCACTCGCTCCATCCCACTACTACACTGACCCCTCTGTCCTTGGTCTCCAATGCTGTACCAATGAAGCCCAAAGAAAGCCTGAGGAACAGCAGCTCATCTCTTGACCAGTCACTTTGTGACTTCAACAATTTTAGATCATTACCACTTCTCCCATTTTATCAGATAGCAACTGTTGGTGATAAATTTGCTGTTGCTGTTTACACTCCCTCTACACTCATCTTTACATTTGTGCCATTATCTCCTCCTTGTCTTGCAATCATCCTTTTTGTCATTTAATCTCTTCTGCCTGTCAGCCCATTACAGATCCATCACCTCTCCGACCTCTGTATTTGCTTAAATGCTGAAAATCCTCTCTAACTTTCTCCAATTCTGACAGCAGGGGGTTGTTGTAATCTCAGATCTGTTTCCCTTTCCACCAAAGCTTCCAGATAAGTTGAATATTTCCAACTGTTGCATTTATATTTCAGCTTTCCAACACCCACAATATTTTCTTCCCAGTTCAGATGGTACAAAATATTGGGGTTCATTCAAAAAATACCTGTACTTTTTGGGATATTTTGGAGGTGCAAGACCCTTGTGTCTGAATGAATATGATGGGGTATTATTATTTCTTTTGATTTGATTTATTATTGTCACATGTACCTAGGTTCAGTGAAAAGTTTTCTTTTGTATGCAGTACAGGCAAGTCATACGATACAAAGTACATTGGGGTGATAGAACAGAGTGTGGAATACAATGATACAGTTGCAGAGAAGGTGCACAAAGAGTGTGATCAACATTAAATTTAAAATTTGAGAGGTCCTTTCAGAAATCCAATAACAGTGGGGAAGAAGCTGTTCTTGAATTTGTTGGCACATGTATTTAAGCTTTTGTATCTTCTGCCTGATGGATGAGGTCTTTAATGATGTTGGCTGCCTTCGCAAAGCAGTGAGAAGTGTAGATGGAGCCAATGGAAGGGAGGTTGGCTTGGGTGATGCTCTGGGCTGTGTTCACAACTTTCTGTTGTTTCTTATGGTCCTGGGCAGAGCAGATTAAGCCATGATGCATCTGTATAGGATGCTTTCTATGGGGCATCTATAAAAATTAATAAGGATCCTTATGGACATGCTGAATTTCCGAAGCCTCATGAGGAAGTAGAGGCGTTGTTGTGCTTTCTTGACCATTGTGTCACTGTGGGTGGACGAAGACACATTGTTGGTGATCATCATGCCCAGGAACTTTTACACTGTTGATCATCTCCACCTCAGCACCATTGATACAGACAAGGGCGTGCCCTCCACTCTGCTTCCTGAAGTCAATGACCAGCTCTTTCATTTTGCTGACATTGATGAAAAGAGTGTTGTCTTTACATCATGCCGCTAAGCACTCTATCTCTTTCCTGTATTCTGTCTCGTCATTGTTTGAGATCCAGCCTACGATGGTGACGTCATCAGAGAACTTGTAGATGGAGTTAGGACAAGATTTGGTCACACAGTCATGAGTATACAGGGGAGTATAGTAAGGGGTTGAGTATACAGCCTTGCGGAGCGCCGGTGTTGAGGATTGTCCTGGAGGAAGTGATGTTGCCTCTTCTCACTGATTGCGGTCTGTAGGTCAGGAATTTGAGGATTTAGTTACAGAGGCTGGAGCAGAGACCTACGTCTCTGAATGTGCAAGTTAGTTTGTTTGCCAGTACAGTGTTGAAGGCAGATTTGTAGTCAATAAGTAGGAGCCTGACCTTGGTATCTTTGTTGTCCAGCTGGTCCAGATGAGTGTAGAGCCAGGGAGATGGCGTCTGCCGTGGGCCTGTTGCGATAGCTGTTGAACTGCAAGTGATCGAGGCAGGCTGGGAAGCTGGAGTTGATATGAGCCATGACTAATCTCTCGAAGCACTTCATAATGATGGAGGTCAGAGACTCTGGGCAGTAATCATTGAAGCACCATAGTCCTCTGCAGGGCTACACTGCCAGTTTGGCTAGCTTTATTGTTACTCTTTCACAGAATGTAGACATTTCTGGCAAGGCTAGCATTTGTTAACAATCCCTAATTGGCATTGGACTCAGAGGCTTAGTAGGCCATTTCAGAAGGTAGTTAAAAGTCAATCATATTGCTCTGGGCCTGGAGTAAGATTGTTAGGGCTGCAGGATGGGAGATTTCCTAATGTGTTCATAACAGTTGCATGGCCACTCTTACTGAAGCTAACTTTATATTCCAGATTTAGTAACTGAACTGAAATTTCACCACTGACTGTGGTGGGATTTGATCCTCTGCGTAGAATGCCCCTGGATTACTGATCAAGTGATGTTCCACTAGGCCAACACCTCCTCATGCCTCGTTAGCTTCTTGACACAATAATGGCTCGAAGGGAGGAAATTCTGGCCCACTTAACAGATTCAACAAAGACTAAAAAGTACCTCATCCTGCCCCCTTGACCTGTCCGTCCTCCCTGGACTGACCTATCCCCTCCCTAACTCCCCACCTACAGTCACCTTTACTGGCTCCACCCCTGCATCCTTGACCTGTCTGTCTCCTCTCCACCTATCTTCTCCTTTATCCATTGCCTCCTTCTCTCTCCTTACTCATTTCAGAATCCCCTTCCCCTCCCCCATTTCTGAAGAAGGGTCCAGACCCGAAACTTCAGCCTTCCTGCTCCCCTGATGCTGCTTGGCCTGCTGTGTTCATCCAGCTCTACACCTTGTTATCTCCAGTGTTTAGTGTCCAGTTGCTGGTAATCGCATGGTTGAGAGGATTCTAAGGTTTCACAACACTCCAAATTTCTATTCTGGAAGCACTGCACTGTTTCTGGGAAAGACTCAACTGTGCTCTAAAATGGCCGAAAGAGATTTCTCAGAAAGCTGATGTCAGTTTCTCAAAGCAGTTTGCTCTCTCAGGCTGGAATCCAAATTGCAGGTAGCTTGAGATGGCATTACCTTGACCCCATCCACTCCCACCCAGCCACCTTGACCCATCTCCCTGTTAGATCAACGAGAAAGTGTTCACTGCTGCCAATAAAGTAGACAACGTCTAAGGGGAGAGTCAGAGGAGAGGGGACAGAAGATCCCTGAAGGTTAGCCAATAGGACTTAATTCCAAGCCCGAGAGCTTGCAATGAAAGAGAACAAGGCTGCTGCTAACTTACTGTCCATTTTGGCACCACCCATGGTCACCAAATGGCTGATGAGCTCAGCTGCTACAGCCACATTGGGATAAGGAAGGAAGAAGTGAGTGTTGGAGGCATTCCCTGTTCTGACAGATTCCCACGAGGAAAATTACAAAATAAAAACTCACCTGCCTGGGATCTTCGCCTGCCAGACAAACCATAACTCCTGCCCAGTTCAGGCTTCAAATGAAAATTTAAGCATTTATTCAAATGACTTTTTTTTAATTTGCTTGTGGGATGTGAGTGTCACTGGCCAAGCATGTACTGCCCATCCCTAATTGCCCAGAGGGCAGTTTAAAAGTCAACCACATTGCTGTGGGTCTGGAGTCACATGTAGGCCAGACCAGGTAAAGATGGCAGTTTCCTTTCCTGAAGGACAGTAGTGAACCAAATGGGTTTTTCAAAACAATTGGCAATGGATTTCTACATCTACCCTGCCAAGCTCCCAAAATATCTTCTATCAATATGGCTGCCTTTCATTCTCCTAAACTCCAATAAGTCCAGGCTCAACCTACTCAATGTCTCTTCATAAAGCAGACCCTCTATACAACCTAGTATCAACCTAGTGAACCTTCTCTGGGCTGCCTCCAATGGCAGTGTATATTTCCTTAGATAAGGGAATCAAAACTGTTCACATTATTCCAGCTCTGGTCTGACCAGTGCCTTAATAGCTTTAGCTAAACATCCCTATTTTTATGGACCATTTCCTTTGAAATAAAGGCCAACATTCCATTTGCTTTCCCTATTATCTGCTAAACTTTGCTAACAATCTCAAGACTTGCGTCCTCTGGCTACTGACCTTTTCGCCAGTAGAACCAGTTTCTTTTTATTCACTCTCTCAAAACTTTCCTCGATTTACAGTGAAACTGTCCCAAAGCATTCCACTACACTTCATACAAAATTGGACATGTTAGCTCTACGAGATGTTGATCCAGGTGAACAGAAACCTGACCAGAGAGGACGGTATGGAGGAGCTGGGTTAAAGGAGGAGAGGGGCAAAAAGTTTTCATGGAGAGAATTTCAGGTATGTCTGAAGACATGGCCAGTAATGGGGAGAGGTGGGAGAGCGAAAGTTAAGGGGCTCCTGTTAAAAGGCCAATTTACAATCTGGCAGAGGGACATACCCTCATGTTTAACCCTGTGTGGAAGGTCATTGACAGCAGCGACTTTGTTGATTTCCCATGTGGAAGAAGGCCATTTGGCCCAGTGGCTGAAAACCAACCTAACCCCACCTTCCAGCTTTTGGTCTGTAGTACTGAGGGATACGGCAATTATCCGAGTGGTTCCTGTAAATGCAGTGATGGTTTCTGCAGCAGGTTCTGGAGACTCAACATACACCCTCTGGCTGACCGATTCCTCTCCAAACTTCCCACCAACTACTACTTTAATTCCATGCCTGGATTCTGAAGAAGGGCCATACCAGACTTGAAATGTTTACTCTGTGTCTCTCTCCCTGTCCAGACGCTGCCTGAGTTCCTGACCTTCCCCAAAACTTCTTCTTTTAATTTCACTTCTCCAGCTCCCACAGTACTTTGCTTCAGTTTAAGTCTACACCTGCTGGTTTGACCACTTTACTGAATAGATCCTTCCAAATCACTTTATTTAGGACCCCAATAATTTTATTCCCCTCAATTGAACCTCTCTTTGGCCTCCTTTTCTCCAAAGAAAACAAACTTTCAATCTCTTTTGTCTCACACCTAAAATCTTCCAATCAGGAAAATTATTTCACAAACCCATTTCTGGTCTCCCTGCGTAGGAAGGATGTTGGGAAACTAGAAAGGGTTCAGAAAAAATTTACAAGGATGTTGCTAGGTTTGGAGGGTTCGAGCTATGGGGAGAGGCTGAATAAGCTGGGGCTATTTTCCCTGGAACATCAGAGTCTGAGGGGTGACCTTATAGAGGTTTATAAAATCATGAGGGGAATGGATAGGGTAAATAGACAAGATTTTTTTTTCCAGGTGAGGGGAGCCCAACACTAGGACTTAAGGTGAGAGGGAAAAGATTTAAAAGGGGCCTAAAGGGTAACTTTTTCGCACAGAAGGTGGTGCGCGTATGGAACGAGCTATCAGAGGAAGTGGTAGAGGCTGGTGTAATTGCAACATTTAAAAGGCATCTGGATGGATACATGAAAAGGAAGGGTTTAGAGCGATATGGGCCAAATGCTGACATATGGGACTAGGTTAATTGAGGATATCTGTTCAGCGTGGACGAGTTGGACTGAAGGGTCTGTTTCCGTGCTGTATGACTCTGTGAGTCCTCTGCATGTTCTGTAGTGTGACCACACGCTCCTGTGTTGGCCAGAATTGCACACCGCATTTGTTGTGGCCAGCTCTTGTTTTCTTCAGCTCTTTATTGAGACTGGAAATAACTACATCTGTTACCTTTAAATCTCCCTTTTTATACATCAAGCCATGCAGCTCCTTTTCACAAATCAACTCTGAAGCAGGTCCCCTTCTCTGCTGCACAATTTTCAATCCTGTAAAGTTTATGTCCCTGCTCTCCATGTCCTCCCATATTCTAGGCTGGACAGAGCTCACATAAACCTTTAACAATTTTAAGACCCTTTATAGATCCTTCTCGTTTGTTAAAACTTTAGTCTCCCAACCTGTCCACACTGAGCCTAAAGACCAAGTGACAAATTATAACAAAAACAAAGTTGCTGGAAAAATTGCTGTGACAAATTATAACCTTTCACAATTCATGACCGTCAGACTCTACACCTTTTGTTGCTTGTAGAGGAAGTGCGGTGAGATTTTTTTTTAATAACGTAGTTGTGAGTAAGCTGTCATATGAGATTTCCAGCTTCTGCGTACTGTGTCCTAATAATGATGACAGGCTCAAAGTGGAAATAAGCAAAGGCACCTGTACTGGCCAGAATGGGACGTTGCGCTTAGCCACACTCAGATCATTCTTTAGATTTAAAAATACCACCATCAGCACTCACTGCTTGCTTTCATATTGGCCCTTTGAATGCAGAAAAGGTACTTTGAAGAGAACCAAACCGAAGATAGATAGGAATTTGAGGTGTGAAGAAGACCTAAGTAGCCTACAAAGGGATATTGAAGGGTTAATTGAGTGGGCTAAGATTTGGCAAATGGAGTACAATGAGGAGAAGTGTCAATTGTCCATTTTGGTAGAACAGATAGAAAAACAGCAAATTATCTCAATGGGGAGAGGTTGAGAAGCTCTGAGGTGCAGAGAGGTCTGGGTGTCCTAGTGCGTGAATCACAGAAGGTTAGTGTACAGGTACAGCAAGCAATCTGGAAAGCCAGTTGAATACATTTTATTGCAAGAGGGACTGAATTCAAAAGTAGGGAGGTTATGTTTGAGCTATCCAGGGTGTCGATGTGACCGCAGCTGGTGTACAGTGTACAGTACAGGTCACTGCACTTACTGAAGGATGTGCTGGAAGCAGTTCAGAGAAGGTTTACCTGGAACGAGTGGATTGCCTTGTGAGGAAACGCGAGACAGGCTCTGGAGTTTAGAAGAGTCAAGTAGTGATTCTAATGAGGTCAGCCAAGTCGGAATTCCCTGATTGGGGCTGTTAATCTGGTCCAATGAGGGAGCCCTGGCTGACAGATATAAACAAGAGTGTCAGAGGGTCTGCTCACTCTGAGAGCTGGCTCTGAAGGAGCTGGATCAGTGTCAAGGACTCTCCACGTGTAAATAAAGGGTGACTTGGTGATGGGATACTGGCCACTGTGGAGTTATTTCAGTGGCAACAAATGAAAAACATGTTTCTGAGGAAATTCGCTCATAAGAGTCATCATTCAGTTGGAGTAAGTATTTCTGGCCTCATGCCATTAGTTGGGAAGCTTGTCTCGTTTGATCCAGCCATTGATGACTAGGCCCAGTATGTGGCAAGAATGTGTCATTTTTTCCAAGTAAATGAGATTGGGGGCAGATGAAAAGCAATGAGTAATTCTCCTGATAGCTTGTGGACTTGCAGCTTTTTTGACTATTACGAGCCTAACTTTTCCTGAGGCACTGGACACTAAAACCTTTCAAGAGTTGACAGATTTAATTAAAGAATATTATGACTCCAAGCCTGCTCTAATTCTGAGATGCTATTGTTTTCACTTGGCAATTTGAGAACCAAGGGGAATCTGTATTGTGATTTCTAACTAGGTCAAGATGACTTGCAGAGGCATGTGACTTTGGTTTAACCCTAAATGAGATACTAAGAGACCGTTTGGTCTTTGGGATTAATGGTGTAATCATGTAAAAGTGCCCAGTAGCTAAAACCCAACAGGAGTTCAAACAGACACCACAACTGGCTTTATCATTGGAAAATGCAGCAAGTGGAGCATAAAAGTTGCAGAGTATTCTGACAGAAGTGGATACACTTGCCAGGCCGACTGAGCTTGGGGAACACCACTTGAGTAAAGGTAATTAGAATTAGATTTATTGTCGCATGTATTCACATGAGGTGGAGTGAAAAATTTACAAGTTGCCACATATTGTTCTAAGGTACCAAGGTACAGATTCTTAAGTACAAATTCTTAGGGGAGAAAAATTAGTAAAATGAAGAAATAAAAGTCCAGTAATAATTAGAAAAATCGACAGATAAGAGTTCAGAATAACAGTCCCAAATAATTCCACCATCTGGTGTGGCAGGAATTTGAACCCTGGCCCCCAGAACATTATTTGGATTAACGATCCATCAATAATATAACCAAGCTATTGACTCCCCCAGCTTAATGCAAACCCTCACTCAGGGCATATCCTGAACAGAGGGACTCCAGGTCAGCTCACAGCAAAACCCCAAAACAAAACCAAGCCTCAGCCAAACAGTTATAAATTCCTCCAGGATCCAGCCGGGAAGCCATTGTAGTTGCTGCAAGTATGTGGACTCGAGACAGAAAAAACATCCTACTGGACCTAAACTGAGTACGAGAACTCATAGGCCGGTATCCAGGGGAATGCCTGCCCCAGAAAGCCCACCTATATGAGGTTTGTAACAATTTAATTGCTTAGCAACATCCAAATCAGAACCAATCCAAATAAATATCTGGTTAAATGATCAGCTGCTTCACATGGAGGTTGATACTGGCACGTCCATTTCAGTGATCGCAGAAACAATCTGTAAAAAAACTTCGCTCTGGACTCCAATCCTTCAGTATGCGCAAGGCCTTGGCTAGACTGAGAACCTACACTGGGGAACCTCTACAGATTAAAGGTACAACTTCAGTTCCAGTGTCTTATGAGAAGCAGCTGGTTCTGTTGCCATTGGTTGTTGTAAAATGCTCAGGCCCCAGTCTGATGGAGCATAATTGGTTGAGAAATATTCAACTTCATTGGCTTGACATTTTTTGATTAGAAAATGTTTGCCTGAGTGAAGTCCTAATCAAATACCCAAAAGTTTTTCAGGAAGGTCTAGGGACTATCATAGGAAACAAGGCCATCTTGCATGTTGTCCAGGGAGCAATTCCTTGATTCTGCAAGGCCTGTCCAGTGCTGTGTGCATTATGGCTAAAAATAGAGACCGAAATCAGAGTTGCTTTGGGAAGGTGGTGGTGAGCTACCTTCTTGAACCACTGTAGTCCATGTGCTGTGGGTAGATCCAGAATGCCCTTAGGGATGGAATTCCAGAATAGTGATTCAGCAACACTGATGTAATGGCAATTCAGTGATGGTAACACCATTGAATGTCAGGGGGTGGTGGTTAGATTGTCTCTTATTGGAGAAGGCCATTGCCTGGCATTTTTGTGATGCAAATGTTCAAATGGTCTTTGAGTGAAAAACTGTTCTCTTCTCCTGAGAGAAGAGAAAGCTCCGAGGCAATCTCGCAGAGGTCACAGAAGGTCTGGGGAAGCATGAATGTGTCCACTTTGGCAGGATGAACAGAAAAAGCAGTATGCTGTTAATTAAAAGGAAACAAATTGCAGACCCCTGAGATATGGAGGTGGGACTCGAAGTCCATCAAGTCATTCTGCCCTGGTCTTAATCTGGACAGAGGCTAGAAAGTACTGGGAACCCCAACCTCCACTCTGCCACCCAATTCAATCCCTGATCTGCCACCAA